TTGAATAATTCATACACAGCATTCAAATGTTTGATATCAAAGTTCGACTACATTGCGGTGAGAGACAAAATTAAAAGATTAATGACGTGTAAAAAGAGTAGCTGCGTTTATTAAGCTGCGTCGTTAATATGCCAGCTGGATAAAAGGGTTCCCAGAAAACATGCAAAGTAATGTCCAACGAAGCGTGAATAATTACCATCAAGCCGATAAATATGTAATGCATCTCTGTATTAATTATCATAGATAATTAACACCATAGGTGAAAACCGCGCCTGATGCTCATAGACAATTAATAGCGATAGACAATTAACGATCGACCTTCATCGATACCTTCTTTTAACTGCAAATATTCACTACAGAAGCATAGTACCTATCTCAAATTAATGTTGCAATTCTAGTCGAAATTGTAAGACTTGTAGTTTGTTGTCGTAAAAGTCATAAAAACTTAAAGCTACAATTCTACTCACACTTTTGTTTTACATTTATTTGAGGTAAATATCTTATAATATGTATCTGTAAAGTTACGGATCGTGAATTATACGCAACTCTCAAATAGAGGTTTAATTTAATAAACATATAAAACTGTTACTTATATTTTAATGATATATATATATATATATATAAAATAACAAAGATTGCCTTCTAAACAACAATGTTACGATTTTATGATGTATATTCTTATATACATCATAGTTTATTTAGAATTACAATACCAATAATTACCACTTAATTGACAATATTGTTGTGACGAATGGATTCTACACAATAAAATATTGTAAAAAATCTTTTAGTTCCTTTTTTTTTTCATTGATTTTAAGATGATTTAGATGTTTACAATTGTTTAATCATAGTAATTAACAAAGTTTTGAGGTCATAAACGTTTCCATGTGTGTAAATTACTGAAACTAAGCACAATTAGTAAAAGAAGAAAGTCTGCAAAAAAAAACAAGTTTTATTGAAAATAAATTAATTAAAATATCTCAATAAAAAAGAGATAAAAGTTTAAAACAAAATTGAAAGTATTTTATTCTCGGGCGCGTCTTTTGTTCAGAGTTGTTAACTCAATCACCATTATTCTGATTGTACTCAATCGTATCCAGAAAAAACGCGATAAAGTATTAGCACAGGAAAATACGAGAGGAGGAAAGGATGGAAATAGCATAAGTACAACGGGACGCGTGATGAGTACTTCTCGCGTTATCCAGAGAATTGGACAGAAAAATCAAAGGAAGGGGCGATTACATCGGATTCGCGTTACCAGGCGTAACAGTACGGCTGTAATCTCATCTAGGCACTCAGCTCGTAGCGACGGTTTTTATCCTATTACGTCACATGAATAAACTAAAGACTGCGGAGCCCGCGATGTAACCCTGGGAGAACGCATCGCGCATCCGTCGGAAAGAGACTCGATTCGTCGTTCGATGTGGTTTAGTTTTGGAGAAGTCGAAGAATCAGGAAAGAAAAGAACAAGACAAGAGAGATAGCACCACAACTAGAGAAATTGGACTCGAAAAGAACCGTAGCTCAATTGTGATTGATTCTGTTATAGATATTAACTTTTGAGAGCTTTATGATTATCACAAAATTATAAGAGAAATGGACAAAGGGAGAAGAAGATAAAAAAGAAGATAAAAAAGAAGATAAAAAAGAAGATAAAAATTACCAAATTTTTTTTTGAAGTTTTGTACAGGATCTTTTAAAATATATCTCGGATTGTTAAAGCTACAATAATATTAAAAAAAACAACACAAAATTCAATTTTTTAACATTGTATTGTGTTCTAATTTCTTAAGAATCGTATGATATCAATATGTATCTAATGCACACAGATAGAACTGATATAAAAATTATAAGAAACTTCTATCAACTAACTTAAGATTAAAAAACAAAGAATTTGGCAATTTAAAACAATGAAACAAAAGACAATTTAATATTTAAAAGTGAACTTAAAATAAATAAATAAATAAAATAGTGTTTTAAAAATCTTAGTTAATTTCTACATGTTTTATATACTTTCTTTTATGAATACAATGCTAATTCTATGTAAAAAAACTTCAATGAATGATTTTCATGTCTGTGTCATTCTGATAAATTCATGAAGACTAACAATATAAGGTAAAGTTAACGGCATATTCACAACTGAGTAAACTTGGTCTGACACTCATAAGACATTAAAATAATCAATATTTGCTGAAAATTCTAGCCTTTAACTGGTTTCATTCTTATTGTCAAATAACATCAAGTTTCTTATTTTTTTATATAGATATTATTGAGTGAAAGAGAAAAGAGAAAGAGAGAAAGAGAGAGAGAATTTTCTTTTACACGTATATGCGTACGTTTAGCTTCTTCATGCTTGTTCGAAACTTATGAACAGCGAATATCATAAGTAACTATTATATATTCGCTGTGCTGATGTTTCGTTCGACCTTGATGGAAAAACAGCGCTCGATATCAATGTACATACTCCAAATGCGGCTCTTCGTCGAACGGCGGAATATGATTTAAATGAAACCTTGAGACGTTTAATTTTAACCGCATTGCGCGAATCAAAAGTTATTTTTATTGAGCTTCTCACCGGACAAATTCTATCACTACGGATATTTCTCCGAGCAATTTCACTTTTGCATCGAACAAAGCGCGATTCTACGACAAATCGGTAATGTAATTTACGGCAATCAGATCCACGCGATTGATTGTTATATTTACAATTGTATTACAATATTGTACTACAATATTATATATATATATATATATATGTATATAAATTACAATAACAATAAATAATAAATTCAATTTAATTATAATATTTGGGTCTTTAATTATATCATCTCTGATTTGAAGCTTATTAGAGATAAGAGTCTTTTCGTATCAATACAATTTGTTAAATCCTTCTTAACGGTAAACATATCACACAAAATATGTTTTATTCAATTCTTTTCTATAAAAAAAAACATTTGTTGGTATTAATATGAGTAATAAAATATTTATTTGTGATTGCAAAATTGTAGGCTCAAAGTAATTCAATTCAACGAACACAATTTTACTTATTCAATATGGTGATCGTATTCAAAAAGCAAGCTACACTACAAATACATTAAATACTGTGTTTTCTACTAATGATGGAAAAGTATTTGAGAAAATATTTGATTCTCTCTTTCTCTTTCTGTTTACATTAATTTAACACATCACAAATGAAAATATTATTTACAAGATATTACATCAAATTTTTCTTTCAGCAAAGTTATTTTTTTCAAATAACAAAACATGTAAAATAAATGTAAAATTAATATCTCTCTTTTTTAAAAATATCTATTTTATTAGCTAAATATGACTCAATGACTGAAGAAACTGTTTCAGACTTCTTTGAAAGCACGATGATTTATAAATATAGACGCAACTTGGAAGAAATATTGATCTTTCCATGAATAAAGAAACGAGTTCGTGTATTCTTGATATTCTCTACAGTTATATTTATAGATATATATTTGCACTTAAAATTGAGTGAGTCTTGATGTCGCCTGTAAGTATGAAAAATACAGCATGCCGACGCGGTCAAGTGTCGGGCAATGAAAACGAATGAGAAGAAATTTCAACAACGTATTTCAAATGCTTCACAGTGTCGTATTCTTGCATTTATTCGGTCCGCCATTTTAAATGGTTACTGGGATATGTCCATATGGCGAATGTCCATATCTTAGTCTTACAATAATTCGCAAACTAACATGCAATAAATATGACGTTTTTAAATATATTCAACTATGTCATATAGGTACATCAAGTAAGCGAGTTAAGCCAACTATGTTGTAGAAAATATCTTTAAATTAAATAAATCTATAAATATTTTGTGTTAATAATATTTTTCCTAGGTATTACTTTTATGTTTCGGATCTTACGACAGTATTATTAAGTGTGTATAATTTTGCAACTTTTTTGTGTTAAAATAATAATTTTATATACAAAAGGCGATTGATACATATTTGAAACAACGCGACAATAAATAGCGACAGTAATATTACATTATTGTTGTCGTTAATAACTTTCATCTTTTCAGGAAAAACAAATGTCAAATGCCGACTTATTATCGCACGTAGTGTTTGTGTGACAGCACGCCAAAATATAACAATTTACGGCATCGATGACTTCAGATTGTTGTTCAATACTTTCTTTTTCTTTCGAATCATTTTTTCAGATTTGGAAATAAAAATGACATGGATCCATATGTGGCGAATAAAGCAAGTAAATCAGCAAAGCCCAACTTGTAAATTTTGGCCATTATAACAATTGAAGTGTGAGCTAGTGTATTGGCAAAAATCACTGAGAGTACCTTTGGCGAGCTGTCACACAAACACTACATGTTATAATAAGCTTGACATTTTTTCTTCTAAAGGATGAAACTTCAACAACAAGAATAATGTGTAATATTGTCGCTAAGTAGTGTTTCGAATATTTATCAATCGTTCGAAATAATAAATTTGTGATTTTACAATCAATTCAATCACTTAAAAAATCTAATCTCTTTTCATTGATAAAACAAAAAATAGCACTTTTATAGGTCAATTAAATATAATTTATAAAACTGTGAACATATGAAAGAGACTTTCCTTAATGCATAAAATTACGATTTATCGTCTTTGTTGTTGAAATAGGAAATATAATCGTTGAACGAAACTTATAGTTAGTCTTATCTATTTCTAAACATATTAGAAAATATTCGCAATCATCAATTTCCAAGAAAATTAACTTTAGAATAGATATTTGTCGCTAAGTTATTGAAAAAAACTTCAGTATTTAGATTTTTTTATTATATTATTTGTGCACTCAACGATGATATATTTTATTCTTTTTCGACACAAATATATATATATATATATATATATATATATATATATATATATATCTGGCGAAAAGTTTTCATATCAACATTATCATTCAAATGTTTTTCAGCGAAAGTGATGATGCGATTCTCGATGAAATTGAAAGGAATTGGCAGTTTCACTCACGGTAGGATTCGGCATACATCGTCTCGGCGGCGGCGGCATCGGATCCGGCGCGGCGCGATAAGGTGGCGGCGAGTATCTCCCCGAGGGGAAGCAACCCGGGGCGGTAATCGGTGCCCCGTGGAGCCCCTTGCTTCCCATCATCTTGTCCGGCGAGTACATCATTCTGCGTGCCGCTAAGCCTGTCCCGGCTTAGGTCCGCGCCTGGCACTTTCGACACCCTCAAACGGAACGATGAGCGAAACACCGGCAGCGACGGCTGCGCTTCTTGGTTCGCATCTGTGTAATACTCGAATATCTGGCAGTCAAAAGTGATTCAAAGTTCACCGAGCCAGTCGAGTTAAGCAAAAAGTTAAAAACTTTCAGCTGAACTTAAAAATGTACCGATTTTTACAACGATTTGAATGAAAGATGTTGGCACACACAATATCTCACTTGCCACTCAATTCCAGTAGCGATCAGTTTATATACGCAGGCACTAAAGACTTGCGGTCCCACATCTCGACTGTTGATTCAACTGAACACCGTTCGCCACCGTAAACCACAGTTAACAAAAAAGCTCCTTACATGCGTCTATCAATCCAACAAACAACAATCACGATCGTATATTTTTGCAAGCACCTTTTCTTCTCTGAACTGTAATCGATTGCACGCTATTGGATGACACTTCACTTGGGAATCACTTGCGTTCTACCTAGGGGCTCAAAACGTTCGCGCCAAGGAGAACTGAGGAACCAATCGAAAAACGATTGCAATCAAGTCACCAGATTCCCGTGTTCCACGAGGCACTCTCGAGGGGATTAACGGGTGACAACAGCATAGGAAAGGGATGAGGAGGCACCGGCATCACCTGTCACTTGCCGTGTACCAAGGGAGTAGGTTACGCACAGGGCGCAATACGCGGACTCTTCCGTCCCGAAGCTCTGCACTTTTTGGCGCTGACTGGCCGGCGAGAAACGCTCCGCTGATGAACTCTTCCAGGGGGATGGCAGAAGTTCTGTCCGATCACGGGACAAGCAGGTGGGAGACGGCGGGGGTTGACGGTGGTGGTCCTGGACGATGCGGCGCAGCGTGGCGCTTGCTCACGACGAGAGAGAGGGTTCGCTCGCGTGTTGACGGGGGTGAGTCGGCAGCAGCCAGCGGGACGCAAAGCCTCGCCGAACGGGGGCGGAGCCTCGCGCGGTTACGCTTGCGCCCCTAATCTCATGCACGTCGGCCATCTTTGCCTTTGCTTTCAGGCCTCGCATGGGTGTCGCTAACCGCGACCACCCGTTTGTCCATCCTTTCTTCGTGTACGTTTGTCATCTACGTTGATGCGCATGTAGGTGAGTGTAGGTGTCTCGACATCCCTTCACCCTTGTACGTCTACGCTTTGCCCGTTGCCGTTGCGTTCGCGCTCGATCCTCTTTACACCCTCTCTCTATATTTCTAGTTGAACTAAGTCTATCTTTTTCGCTTTCATTCTGTCCCCGTCTTTCTATTCGTATATCTCTGTAACCTCTTCCGGTACGTCTTTCTCTTCCGTAGCAAAATATTAGCTATTTTGTTTGCGCTTTGCTTTCGCGTGCCACCGATCGTACGCAAATGTTATAAGTTGCGTTATCGTTATATCTTACCGATGTATAAATACTTTCACGTGCTCTCACGTAATCTTTATCATCGAATTTATCAATCTTATTTTCTCTTCTTCTTTTATCCGTGTATCTTTCTTATGTACTTGCGCTCTTTTTCGTCTCCATTTCACTCAATCTACTTCTCCACCGCTCGCTACACACTTTTTCCTCATAGGAAAGTCGTTGTTCGAGAGTGAATCTCATCCCCGTATCGCTGTCGAGTCGCGCGACGATACGGAAACGGATGACGTTTTTTCTTTTACCAACATCTCGTACACTACATCACACTTATGTTGTCCTCAAGCTGCTGTCACGACGTTCGTGTGTAACGTATTAGTGAAATCAGATCCAAGGATCCGGACCGGACTGAAACCGAAACCGATAACCGGACCGTAACCGTTATTTTAGTCAAACCGAAACTGAAAACCGGCTCGAAATATTATGTAGACTAATGGACCGGAACCGTAACCGAACCGAAAACTATTTCCGATGTTTATTTCGGTTCGGA